CGCAGGGAATGAGGGGCCTGGCATCGGGAGTCTGTTCGACTGTTCCGGATACCGCGGGTGCATTTGGAAATCTTGAAGGGGCTGAGAAGGGTGTGAAGGAGGAATCTGAGAAGGCAAGTAGCTGGCGCGAGGGTCATTTTGCAGGTGAACAGCTTCCGGTTGCGGAGGATGATGGCCCACGGGTCCGTTGTGGCTGTGAGAGCTGCCTTGCTCCTCCGCAAAGCGATACTGCTCGTAGTAGTCGCCATGGCTGACTGCCCTCGAGGGCAGCGCCTGTTGTCGCTGGGGCATTGGCAACTGGGGTTGCCGCATTTCCGGAACCTGCTGTGGTGGCATCTGCAAGGTATCCCAAGCATTGCCATTATCTGTGTTGAGGCCTTGCGTGACCCACAGAGGCTCCTGAGCGTTAGCACCCTGCCTTTGCTGGTCATGTTGTCCAGGCACGTAGTTGCTACTCTCGTTCTGCGGCATAAAAACAAAGTTGACCTGGAGATCGGCGTCTGCAATCATGCCGTCCATGTGATGTTCGCCAATGCAGAGGTCCAGATTGTCAGCAAAGGCAGGGTCGAGGCTGAATGATGGACAGATGTCGTAGCTAAACTCGTCATCAGATTCTAAGTCTGACCAGGTGCTGCTTCCGTATGGTCGAGCTTTCGGTGCTTCAGCAATAATACGAGTGTTGGGCTTCGTTGCGAAAGATACGGTGGGGATGTGGAACGGCTTAGGTGAAGTGGACTGTTGAAGAGCGGTCAGCTGAAGTTCTGGAACTCCGTGGCTTTCAAGGTAGGGTGCGCACCATTCGTCCCATAGATGACTTGTAAATGGGGGAATCAGGGTCTCGAATTTCAATAGCAGAGTCTCGACGCCCTTGCACACGGTAGAACCGAGGAGGAGGAACGTCGTCCCCCGACTCAGAAGGGCTTCTGGACGATGCGCAAGAGGATGCCGAAGGAGTCAATGCAGGCTGTTGCACATCCGTGCTGAGTGAGAGTGCGTCCCACTGGGCCGTAAACAAGGAGACTCTGTTGGCGGGTTCCAGATTGACTCTTGATGCGTTACCCTCCAGCATGACCTCGCGTCCAACGTAGACACAGGAGCCAAAGAGCGTTGCGATACCGCGATATCCCATCTGAGGGCGCTCTGAGACGGAACGGCGGAAATCCAGGCTCGGGCCGTACAATGTAAGCAGGAAAGTGGTTCCGGATCGTTGCTCAGTGTGAGTCGGGACCCAGCAGACAGCCTTCAAAGGCACGAGCATACATTGGTTGGTCCGGAGGTTGAGAATGTGAAGCGCATCTGAAAGGTCCTCTGCTGTGCCGTTCTCCACGATGGCCACCGGATCACCTCGCTGGTATTCCTGGCCGTCGAGAGATCGCCCGCCATGGACAAGCGTGCCATGCGCCGGCTGCATGTTTGCGCCGACTGGATCGCTATCCAGGATCGTATTATGTGACATATCGTCTTCCAAGGAAGGCTGCTAGTCTGATGGAAAAGAGGAAAGAAAGAAGTGGGCAGGCCGCAAGGTAAATATCAACACCACCACGAGGATTAATAGTTTTCGGCGTGGCACATAGCTTGGTGAGAGTCGGCGTTACGTCCGTGGATGAGTCGAGACCAGGCTACACTGTGAACAGAGTAGTAGATGGTGTGCGAAGACAACGTCGAAGCGTCAATATCAGGCAGGGTGATATAGGTGAAGAAACACGGAGGAGCGGTGACCAGCAGTGTTGACGAGGAAGTGACGAATTTTATAACACAAATCGGAATATGAGAGAAGCGTAAACGCATACGCCTAGGGCACTTGACTGTACCATATGCGACTTGGCATCGATTCGGGTCCGATACCCATACCATGGGTCAAGGAGGAGCTGCAGCGGAAGCCTCATCGCACATCCGCCAGAATGAACTCGTACGCAATCCCAGTCGACACCCTCCCATCTCTTGCGGACGTAGGGACAAGGGGTAAGGGCGTGTACATGGAAGAAATCCCAGGATGCACTAGAGGGCGATCTGCTAGGTACCTAGGGCCGTAAGGTACAGATCCTTGTCGACGACAGACCAGGGATCATGACGGGGCAGGCCGGGACGACTGGGGTGTGATTTGTATAGGTAGCAAAGCCATGCCGCCATGGCTGTCTCGGACCCTTTCCCCACCCTCAAGACCTGGCTGGCTGCTTTGAACTGGCTTGTCACGCTTGTGTGGTTGTGTACGGTTGTGTAAGCCAGCCAGTGCCTTCGCAATTGCGTACCAAGCACCATTGTGTATCGGAACATGGCTTTCAGCCAGTTCGTATCGTTCACGTCTCTCGTCTTTGGCCACTTGGACATGGATCATCACTGGTAGTCGACATAAGAAAGAGATTCGAGTCAAACATCTCGGAAGCAGGAAAAAGGCATCATCTACGACAACTGTATCCAACTGTCAGACTTTTTTGACGCCATTGACGCTGTCTGAATAGCTGGAAATCCTTCGCGGCAGCATATCATGGCGCTTGTTCGGTGCAGACAGAGAGACTCATTTCAAAAGAAATGTTATGAACATGGAACGCAAAATTCTGAGAAGTGATAGGGCGAGACACGCCATTGGTTGTTCGACCATGCCGGAACACCATCCAGACTGCGCGGACGTGGAGTAGCCGAACGCCTGCAAAACCTCCTCAGCCACTAGCTTCTAAGCGGTGACCCCGCCAGATTTCACAAGTCGAACATGGGCTTAAACCCCTTTCTCCCATGAAGTTATCGAGTCTTTGCGGTCCACAAATTGGGGGCTCCGACTTGGCTCTAAGACAGCATGACTGATCACCCTATCCGTATGCTGCCAGGAACGCCGCGGTGCAGAACCCAGAGCCCCGTTGTAGACATGGACCGAGGCCACCGAATTTCCGCCACAGGTTGAGACCAAAGTCAACACCGCCGTCTTGGTGGCTTCTTCATTTCGATAGACCCCGTCCGGTCTCGCTTGCTCACGAAAGCCAGCACTCTTGCTGGGTAGAAATGCTAGCTCAGAGCGGGCAGTACTAGCTGTTCAGTCGCTTGATGGTGAGATGTGTCTTATCTGGCGATATTCGCCTTATCAATTGTACATTTGTCGCGGCGGAAACGATCCGGTAGCAACCAAATGTGAGGCTTGCCCAGGGAGCGTCCGCATCTCGCGACAGAGAGGATAAGCATGGTCTAGAAGTAGCCACTTCGCCGTCCTTACTTGCTTGTCTTTGAATCGGCCTCGGTCTTTGTGTCGTCTTGTTTTTTGCTCTCTTCCGGCATCTTGCCGAACTTTGTCAAAATATTTGCAGCCCATTCTTCAAACTCCTTCTCAGCCGCCTCGTCCGTCTGGCCAGCCGCTCCACGGATGCTTCTCCTAGCCATCTCTCTCAAGTCGTCGACCGAAGACACGTCAAATGCCCAAGCAGCACCACCAGTCATCATGATTGCGAAGCTCATGACGTTCAGTGTGGCCAGGTTCAAAGCCTCGACGGCAATCATGCCACCCTCTGGATTCCCTTGTTTGCCCGCAGCATAGTGGCTAGGTTGATAGAATTTCGGGAAGGCGGCGAGTTGTTTGCGGGCCACGGAGCGTCGGGTAACCATTGCCGAAAATACGAAGAAGCCGGCGCCGGCGAAAAAGAGGCCAAGTTGTTTCGCGGCTCTCGATTGGAAAGGTGAGGATGTTGGCTGGGCCTGCGACTGCGTCGGGCGAGTGTCAGGCGACTCATTCTGGGAAGCCATGGCGGAAGGGGAGAGTTGCGCGAGCATCGGATTATACCCCTTTCCATTGAAGCTACTGTTAGACAAAACAAAAACATCGTGGCATTCTCGGAGCAGCTCACCAAGCTCAGAACGGCATCTGCCGGTTCAATTGATCGAGACGGGTGTCGATGGAGTCCCTTGCGCGGTTGGTGTTGAGAGACTGGGGAGGTAAAGCGGAGCTCTGGCGGGACAGACTTGGGAGCTCCTCTGAATTGGAAGTCGGGGAAAGGAAGTTCCCGCCACTAAAATTTTCGGGCCCTGTACCTGTATATGCAACAAAACAGACCTTGCGTTCCGTTTGGTCCATACACCTTTAACGGGCAACTAAGCGGGCTGTGAGCTGTGTGCATTATGTAAGTCAGGTACGTATACCGCAACGCATCGGCTTCAGTGCCGGCCAAGGGTTCCAATCGACGTTCCTTCCAGGTTACAGCGATGCTTCTGGGGTTCGATCTCATCTCCTTCTCTCCCTCAGCGTGGTGTCTTGCTTCTACATCTTCCCATCAGCAATCGCAGGAGAAGAAGACAATGACACAAACGAATTCACCCAACTGAAATTGAAAAAAATCTCTTGTCAATACCTTCCTTACCCTCGTATCTGTATCTTGCAATTTCGCGGCATGCTGGCGACTCGCGAAATGCTACCGTTCGCTACGGACGAAATGCACGTTGGCCCACTGTCAACACCACATACACAACTTCCAGAAGCCACGCATCCAGACTCGTCAGGTACCTTGCCATTGCAACTACAACTGCGGCAGCCAAGCCACAGCGTGGACGGCATATTAAGAAGGGCGGAAACCTCAAGATTGCGTCCGCGAAAGCCATCCGGCCTCCCCTCCGGCCTCTGCAGATGACCTGCTGGCAGTCGTAGCGGTCTAATATGCTCCATGGCGCTACGGAACAGATGGCTGCGCTAAAGCCCTTGTCGAGCAATGGCACACGGCTCTCCCCATGATTACGATGCCCAATCAAAACGGCCCGCAAGATACGACCAATCTGCCTCCCCCCTATCTTGGGATGACAGCCCACATTGCAACGGCTGCTCCCATCAGTTGAAATCACCTGCAGATGACATGCCAGTCAGATGGTCGGATGCCTTCCCCGGGGCCTGCCCAGCTTCGCTGATGGCTGCATCTGGCGAGATGCCTAGACCCCGCCGCCTATTCCACTTGTCCACTGGATGCTCAAAGGCTTTCCAGCAACAAGTACCTGTGCAAAGACCGTCAAAATGACAGATCAAGTGTCGTTTCTCAACTACCTGCACTTACACGCCATCGACGCCTCACGGGCCTACTTGTTTTACGACTCATGTCCCCAGCTCGGATGCCTTCATTCGCCAACTGCAAACAGACCTGAAGAGATGCTTGTCTCGGCAGCGATCGATTGTCCGAGATCTTGATTGCTGGATCGCTGATGGGTTCTGACGATTTCGTGACACGCTGTCGGTTTTTGGTTGCACCAAGCTGCTGGGTTCCCCAGCGCATGCGCGCGATGGCTGGCGAAAGGCGCCCAATGCAGGCAGGCTCGGCAAACGTCCAAATAGTACCGTAACACCAAACGCGATCGTTATCGACGACACCTTTCTGGCTGGCCGCCTTTTGAAAATCGGATTCTTCATTCACCTTATGCTGAAGACGACAAGCACTTGATCCTGCTGATATCCGATGCGATGTCACCACAATAAACTTACAACAGTCCATTCGCATGTGGAATACCATCTCTTGCCTAGCTCCCGACCCTTGTTTGGACCGGCCGCACCTCAAGCAAGCCCGAAAGCAACAATACCGCCGTTACGTTGTCGTCAATAGTGCTACGATGACAAGGAACTGGGTAGATTGCGATCGTGGGTTTCGTGCAGAACCAGAGCGATCCAGGCCGTGGACGGGCGCATCAGGTTGAGAACCTGCAAAATGATGAAAACACTGGGTCGAGGCATCATGTGCTCATGGGGTGGGTTACGAATGGGCACAAAGTGGGTGAAGTCATCGCATTCATGTTCGTGAGATGTGATTTCGGATTCAGTCGCAAAATGAGATATAGCGCATCGCCCAAAAGCATCGTCAGCGGGGTGCGCTGCCAGTCGTCGTCTGTGGGGACTACGGCAGAGCTCCCCTCCCTCAACATACCTTACTCTGTACGCTCGATCAAGGAGAACGGCGTCCCGACAGTCGGGCGCCTGGTTTGACAAACACTCCAAGACAAACAAGCCGCAATTGCGTTGGATGGGAGACATGTGTTGGCTCACGGTTCCTGACGAGTTCCAAATTGACCGGATTGTCTCAGGTCAAACTCGGTTTCATCACACGTTGATTGTCTTCTTCATGGTCAAAGAAGGATACCTGCAGTCTCGCATTATGAGGGAGACGACTTACAGCGCGAGACAACTCTCTTGCGACGAACAAGGATGAGTCCTGTTCTTCAAGGTCAAAGCGAGTGACGAAGTCAGATGTGCAGAAATCAATCAGGAGGTTGGCAGGTTTTGTGACGCGACAAGCCTACAACTCGTCGGGTCCTGTCATATATCACTTCTTACGAGATCTAGCGCCTCAGCCAGGAAAGGCAATAGTCACGAAGTCAGCACCCAATTACGTCGAGGATCCAGCCAAAAGTGACGCCTATCCACAGCAGAAGATTTCTCTTGGTGAAATCCAAGTTGCTGCTGTTGATGAGGGATTTTAGCAAAGGACCAGATTTTTTCGATATGCAGTGCAGTGCAGGTGGGAATCTCCGCGATCGCCGAGGCGCGAGTTTATCGTACTTTTCGAACCTGGGGTGCCACGGTTCCTTTACCACAACACTGGGTCACAGATCAGATTGCCAAATTGCATCGTGTTATTGTCAGATCGATTCGATGGGCCAATGCGGCCGTGCTATGCCGGCCAAGTTCAATGTTTGCCTATCAGCCATCAACAAGTGCCGTTTGATATGCAATGATCCGATTGCCTAACGGGCCACCCCAAAGACACGCAAACTTGTACGACCGAAGTTTCGAAGGGCGACGGGAGCAACCGCATTGCCGAAAGTTTGCTAAAACACCGTCGGGGGTCTTTCCCCGTCGCACCCTATCTACTTGGTAACTGCCGCCTTTTCCCTCCCATCGGCTGTTCTTACGTTTCAGCGTTGCGGTCAATTTTAGCAAGCTCCAGGTCGCGAGAGCCGACAGGATATGGCGCCAAAGCGACGGGACGCTGCGCACAGACTGGAATCCGACAGAGAGGAAATGGATGCGTGCGAATCCAAGTCGTATTTGCTAGGAGCACGCCACACGATGCAGGCTTTAGTCACGAATACCGAAGATGTCAAGGAAGACCCAGACATGGCAGAGGGGAAATGGGATTTTTGATCAATTGTCACTTTCTGATGAAAAGTTACATAGGGAGACGGAGGCTGGCTGTTTGATATATGACGAAAGGTAGGACAAGGCAGGGAGGGCTCAGGTTCAGTGGGAGGAAGAAAAGGCGATTCTCAAGATCGAGCGAGACCAATGCTTAGCGCTGCCCATCCATCGCCAGGCCCTGGTCCCGGCGGCGTCTCCCCCGGGCCCCCGGAGAAGATGGGATCCACTCTGGCATGGGTCCACGGGGGATCTCAGAAATGGAAGCGGCGGCGGTCGGGTAAGGCGCGGCTTCCCAGGATGGCACGCCGCACACGCCATCGAGAGCACCGTCCACACTGTAAGCCGCACACAGTACAACCACCTGGGCCACACAAGGCTACCACCCACCTACTCCGTACCTACCTTACCTTTAGCACCTACCTTATGGATAAGGTACCTTGGCGCCTGCATCATTTGAGCCCACTTCCATCCATCATGAACCACTCAACGTCAACATCATTCTCTTTTCTTTCTGCAGACTGCTGCCCACAAAGTTATATTTCTCCCTACGCACGAAACCCCCAATCTGCCGAGAGATTAGACGTCATCGCCAAAGGGTTCAGCCAGCCGACGAATCGCGGCCCCACCCTCAGCATCCCTCATCCTGGCTTACCCCCGCCAGCTCTCACGTGGGTTGATCATCAGGGCTCCAACGGCATCTCACGGAGCACAAAACCAAGCGCGACAACGATTTGCAGACTCGATTCGGCCAATATTCAACAGCCAATCAACCGCTTGACATACGAACTTGACCCTGTCCAACGTCTCTCGCAAAGACCAGCCTGTCGGCGTCCACCCCTCCCTTCTCTGCCACGCCACTTTGCTACGTAGTAGCGGAAGCCTCAGTTGTGTCCCAGACAGCCGTCAGGAACCATAAGCCACCTGATATTACTTGGCCCGCTGCACATCATCCCGAGAAACACGTCCCGTTCTTTCTGTACATACGGGACAGCACGAACCCTATCGGTATACCGTGGGGAATAAGCCAAATACCATGGGGAAACCCAAAAACTCAACCGCCGGCAAGACAAAGGCCGGCCTTGGAACTAATAATGGCGGCGGCAACGCAAAGTTGACCACAATCGCCTCGATTCCTGCCGCACCGCCCGCATGGCCCCAATTCAAACCGCCGTTACCGGTTACCGATCTGGCTGCCGACCAGCTCGCTTCTTGCCCGGACAAGGTCGTCCTGATTCGCAACTTTTGGCCAAAATCCCTCTGCAGTTCCTATGTCACATTTCTGAGGGGTTTACCGCTGATCACCACCCCTGGTCGGCCTAAGCGGGGAGAAGCGGTTAGAGTGAATGACCGTTTTCAAGTGCAGGATGCTGCCTTTGCTCAACGCCTGTGGACGGAGACTGGACTGCGCGAATCGCTTGCTCAAGAAGACATTCAGGGTTTATGGTGAGTCCACTGTCTTCTGTTCCAACTCCCCTAGTCCCTACCTTGCCTACCCATCCCCCGGCCCTCCGAATGCACCCTGGCCACGAACAACGCATCCCATGCGCTTCCGGCTAGATCCGCCAGCGTCTGCGCACAATCAAATTATACCTACGTCCAAAAACAGTTATAACAAACATGAAACCCACGCAGAAGAAGAAACCGCTTGCGTAGAGGTCTTTTCGCTAAAGCTAAAGGCTTGTCATGAGACTTGCTAACGTGGATCGATTGCTCTAGGGGCGGTGAAGTCGTTGGTCTGAATCCCAATATTCGCATCTATCGTTACTCCAAGGGCCAGTATTTCGATGCACATTGTAAGTCTCATAGTCAAATCATTCTCTTGTCACCCAACGCCACAGGCGCCGGGAGCACTAGGCACTCTGCCAGTCAACCAACAAGATTTCCGCCGCTCTATGCAACTAGGCCAGTGGCCAAGTGCTTCGAGGTCCTCGCGCGATTGCCATAGGCTGCGCATATTTGTCACTGGTCAAAGACTGCGATGTGCCAGAGCTCTACAAGCCTTTGTCTTGGGGACACGGCCATGGGTAGCTACCTAACTCTCCTGACACCAACGAAGTGCTTGCTCTCTCAGAGCGACACTTCTGGATCCCCAAAGTCGGGTTGTAACGAGACCGTTGCAAAATCACTGCCCCCGTCCCAGTGGACATGCCACGATGCCCGTCACTAAGCAGATTTTACGAGGGTTTGATCGTGCTCGATCCATACGTTTCCCCCTTCCCATGACAATTACCTTCATCGACCCATTCCTGTGGGCACTACCTTTTACCACGGTTCCCTTACTACGCATGTCTCAACCACCTCGAATCCAAGACCCGTGTCTATGAAGCAGGTCGTGACTTTTCGACTCTGCATGAGAAACCTGCTGAAAGATGTGAATTTGTTGAACCACTGGCCTTTGGGGAGACGATTCGGGGACCCACAACAAGTGTCTGGGCCAACGATCTACCCTTCAGATGATCATTTATGATATATGATATCTTGTCTCCTCCGCTCAGTCCTCTTTTGTTTGCACTCTCCAAGTCATCACGATCTTTCATCCGAGCACCAGAGACCCAACGATTCGTCCCAGAAGCCACAACCCTGCGGATCGTTCCATCCCGATCCGCTTCATGGCGTTATCCCCCCCTGGATGATGTGGGAAGCTGAGTCCGGGAGCCTGCGAGTCCGATCCAGCGATGCCCCTCGACATCTCGCATCTTCCTATCCAAACAAGAAACTCGGCACTGAGAGAACCAGGGCCACCATGCTTTCCTTGTCTTCCGGCGACCCTATGGTGTTTTTTTCCCTTATGAGCTCTAAGTCTTTTCTTCTGTATCTTTTCACTTGTCTTCCGTGCAGGCTTCCTCCTCCTCTCCAGCTTCAAGATCGACCTAGGCTGACCATTGGAACCCCCACTTGCAGACGACGATTCCAACAAGGTATCGCTCAACATCGACGCCTCCTCCGGACCCGTCACGTGCAAGACAACCTGGACACTGCTCCTCTATCTTACCTCTTCCGCCGAGGGCTGTGTTGGCGGCGAGACCGTCTTCTTCCCCAACGACCGCCGCTCCGCTAAGGAGGAGATCCCGGTCGCTCTCGAAACGGGCATGCTCCTCTTACACAAGCATGGCGACGACTGCATGCTGGTAAGTCTCTTCTGTTCAG